ATTTCCTTGTCAATATTCAAATATCACACTACACATTTGGAACAAAACAAAAATTGTTCCAAATGTGTAGTCGCTAATAATCCTATCAAGTTGAAATAATTTGCTCATATGTATAGTCATCATCAAAAATACATCTTTATACCAAGCTAGATAGAATTCTTAGGTATTAACAAATAATAATATGTCTTTTAATGTTTCAATAGCACCTGCGTAAAAAAGCAAGTGTTAACTGCTGACAGATAGCGAAGACAATAGTGCGCCACCCCGGTCGCTTGATAATAACACTTCGCAACTAAGTAGCGTTTGTCAAAACGTATAAACAAAACGAGCAGTAAGTACCTGCGCCCACGCCCCAGGTAGAGTCGGCGCGGCGTCCACAATGGCATTCCGAACATCCGAAATGAATCAAAATTCGGCGCAGCGACTGCCAGACAGCCAACCGGCGAGGCCAACCCGAGACCCTTCTGATAAATTACAATAATAATGGTCACGTCTATTGTTGTTATTTGGGGATGATTTCATTAAGATACGCGCCGGCGCAGGTGCACGGTATTTAATATCGGTTCCGTTACTGTCATAACGATACTTTTTTTTTTGCAATATACAACATTCTAAAACATATATCATCCCTAAACACTCTCTGTTTCCCAAATAAGAGCAGCGGACATGAGGGCTCGATAATTAAGAGGAAAGTATTATCAGTAATGTAATTTGTGTCCAGGTCGGATCGGAGCGCTGCCTGCTCGACTGGTTCCATTATAATCTTTGGAACGGCGACCTCCCGCGCCGACGGAAACAATGAAAGTGAGAGAGGGCAGGAATGCGCACGGGGTAGAGGAGAGGGTGTGGGCTAGGGGGTACGGGGGGGAGCGGCCCGGTTCCCGGTTCCCAGGCGAGGAATGCCAGCACAAGCAACAAAGCCTACCCACCGCCATTCACCCGCTTCGCCCCGCGCGCCCTCCGGCTCTCCCGTCTCAGACACGTAATTTTTCGTGACTTTCCCCCAAGTAGCTTTTACGACATCGCGGCTAGGAAGCGATACGAACGTTCAATATTCAAAAATCGTCGTCGCGCGCCCCCCATTATCAGGACATGAAAGCGAATTTCACTCGTTTGATTCTCCGCCAATAAATCACATTTGGCTGCGGATTCCGTTCTAATCTGTAACGTTCGTTACCTCATTGCCTCTGCCTATATTATACGAATATGTGTAGATATAATATGTCGTGTCAGTATGTGGCATACAATTACAATAAACGTCGTTGTTTCACTGGCCGAACGGTGGGTTCACGGTCGAGTCCGGTGTCGTTTAGCAATTAAACAGCTGACTCTACATCGTAGTTAAAACACACACATATATGATAGCGCGTGTTATAACACCAATAACATAACTTCTACATACAAGCATGACACGTTTTTCCATTTTCAACTTTCACAATAAAAGCTTCTCTGAATTGATAATAAACAATGACAGTTTACTTCAACATGAATCGTTTCGTGAATTGTTTATCATTTGAATAATGGTTCTTATTTGCATATTTTCAAATATGGTATGTTTGGAACTCACTAAGAAACTCTACGTAATCAAGTTAAGAATTTTGAATTATTAAACGGAAAGCTAGAATTCTATTTGGGTATAACTGTCTTGTCTTTTGTTTATCATGTATGCATCTTATTATTATTACCTTTTTTATTTTATTTGAAAATACAAACACCGTTCCCCCTTTTTTTGATCTAATATACTTATTTAAATTTCCGTCATGGGTTGCCTGGAAGAGATTGCTATTTAGCAATAAGGTCGCCCATTTCGTAATGTCTCTCTGTCAGTGTAATCTAACTGTTATGTCCTTTGTAGTGTTATACAGTAAAGAATATTATTATTATTTGGACGACCTCCGTGGCCGAGTGGTTTGTACGCCGGGTTTCATGGTGTCGCCGGCTCGAGAGGTCCCGAGTTCGAATCCCGGTGGGGGCAGATGTTTGTGTGATGAACACGAGCATTTGTACTCCAGTCATGGATGTTTAATATGTATTTCTATATAAATATAGTTATATATGTAAAGTATATGTATTCTATCCGTTACCCTAGTATCCCATAACACAAGCCTTATAGTGCTTACTTTGGGGCTAGGCTAATTGGTGTGAGTGTTGGAAATATTATTATTATTATCATGAAGAGTGTATCCGTCTTTAAGGTAATGTTGAAAATAGATCATTCCTTTTTTCAAAAAACTCTGAATATGGTTATAAGAATTATTCTTATAACAAAACAAATATGTATGAATGTAATTGATTGCTACATCAAAGCACGGTAGTTCTAAAATGTTGTTAAACACAGTTGACTTTAATTGCTTACCATTATTAGGTAGTAGTTTAAATTAAATTGAACCTAATGCTTCGTCAGTTCAATCATTTATTTATGGATGATTTAATCAAATGAACTCGACCTTACCTTGTAGAGCCATAACAGCAGTTATTATGTACACACAGAGCCACGATAACAATCAATGCACGATATTTTTCATCGGAACTCATATCTATATTGAGAAATTGTATAATCCACGCTTCTTTACTCATATATCTTTCTGTTTGTTCACTAAACATCTAAACTGTGAAACTACAAAATTGAAAAGTGCATTTTTGCTGGCAGTCATTAGCTTAATTTTTTTTTTTCGAAAATATGGTATAAAAGTTTCGAATATTTTCGGATAGAGCAGGAGTCTTAACCAGACGCTTTTCATATTACAAATATTTAAAATAATAACAACCATCTAAATAAAACTATTTTAATACTTAATTTTATACTCGTTACCGTTACTGAAACCAGTAGGTACAAATTATTCACATATTCGTATCCATATACAGATCCGATTTTCGCAACCGTTAAGTACAACCCTAATCTAAACGGGTAGGCAAGCAGCTGACGCTAGTTATATCTAATTATTTTAACTTCCACACTGGTATGGAAAGAATTAGCAATATACAAACCCTTTTCTTATAATATGTTACTTATATGGAGACCGTATGTAATTTTTGTACCTACATTGATCAACAATAAAAGTCGCTGTAACGATCCGTCTTTATATACCAACAGTGGATGTTGACTCACTGTCAAATCGGAAGCTGTCTTGACTGATTACCAAGAAAAATCTTTTATCCACAAGGTATTCACCTGTTTCTGGCTCTATATTTTTATGAATTAAGATTGAATGCGGTTTTGTTTTTATTTGACATAGCTCTTGAGATATTTTGGAATCTGGGATTCATGTGTCATTTTTCAAAGTAGGTAAGTATACCATTTAAATACAGCCAAGACATTAACAAATATTTGAATACGGTTCCAAATTGCATTATTCAAACATACGGTGTCGTATGGTCGTCTTAGTATTTGAAACTTCGGGGTTGCCTTGTTGTAATCTGAAATTCTAGGCACGCCACTGGCTATGTGCATCGTTAATGGCCCTGCATGTAATTCAACCGACTGTGATGTGATACTGTCACTCAAGACACCAGTCTAGTCAACCGCATATAACTGCTAAGTGCAACCACTTTATTCACGCACTTAAAAAGGCATTTCGCCGTCATACTATAACTGACAGCTTATAACAAGTCGCCAGGTAAATAAAACCGATTATGGGTTTTGTATGAATGAAAGCTCAGCTTACATATTTGTTGTTTTTACAATTCCTTTGCTAATATTTGTAATGCTGAAACGCTAAGCTGCGGCTGGCCGGCGGAGGTTTAAGAAGTAAGTAGGTAAAAAATACCTAATCTTTTTCACGCGGGAGATAAAAAAAACCAAGTAACTACTAAGTAAATACTACTTTTTCACAGAATCGTTTGTTAGCTTATTACTATATTACAGCTAAGAGGTTTTAAAAGCTCTTTTTTACATTACCATTGTTAATTTCCAGAATTTGAGCATGGGCAAAACGCTAATAAAAGACCTTAAGCTACGCAATCAGCCTGAAAACTGACAAGTTAACGTGGGAATATATCTATCACAGAATCTAATGTACTCGTATATTGTTCAATCAGCTGTGAGGCGAGACCGACATTGGAGACGACAGCTGAGCTGACCGCTCGTGCTGACACCCGAGCCCTGACATGAACAGATAACGCCATCGACACACTCTGCAAGGCAAGTGCAACTGCAGCGGACCTAATTGATACTTTGATAGTCGACTTTAAAAATATAATATAATACTAGCTAGTGCTAAGTTCAACAGTCATATTAACAACTGTATTTTTTATAATCAGTCTATTTGGCGACTTGGAAAATAAACTTTTGGTTTTCACCAGGTGTTCACGTAACATCATTCATATTGCCAAATAAATTAGTTTTAGATCTTGCCAATCAGTGCTGCGTTGAAGAAACCATTTTTTGTTTGTTTATTTTTATAGTCATCCTTTTTATTTCTTTTGTAAGTGGACTTTTTATAGTATTTTAAACGTGATGTTGCTTACGTAGCTAATGAATCAAGATTGCTATAACACGAATTTTAAAAGCACAGTAAAATTATTTACTGCTCGTTGTGTGCCTTTAACACACTAATTTAGAATGGCGTGATTCAAATAAATGAGAAATAAATTATATCGCACTGTATACATAAAGCTCTAAAGCGATGACTTCACAGTTGAAACAAATATACTTGCAATATACTTACCGTTGTCAGCGACATCATTCAATGCTATTATTAATCGTAATATTTTATCCTTTTGATGCAGCTTTAATTAATTCTGATTTATTATCGCAAAAAACAGAAACTAATGGATTTTCTGCTTTAGATAAAACTGTATTATGACTCTAGTGGTTGCTTTACATTTTTTCATAAAAAAATCAAATATGTGAGTATGTACACTGAAGATTTGTTCAAAAGAAAATAACTCTACATTTGGATCGGGAGCTAAACAGACACGAGCTTCTCGGGCTTCATTTCGCAATCAACCTGTCCACAGTTGATTATTTCAATCAACCGATATGTTTACTCTAGCCGCACCTGTTTCGCTGCCATCATCAGCTGATGCGTTGTGCCTCAGGAAGAACTCTTCGGCGTGCGAGCACGAAGCTGCAGCAGCAGCAGCCGCTGTGGCTCCGACACACGCCACCACCGTCAAAACCACCACTAAAAACTTCATGTTCACATCCACAGATTGTACACCTACTAAGATTTAGACAACTTTTTTTTTGTTAATTCTTATTTGACACTCGCGAGCGCACGTTGTCCCCGGGCGAGCGAGACGCGTGCTCGCACATTGGAACGCGTTTTCCGACTGCCGGAGTGCCGGCCTATCGTGTTGTGTGGTGCCAGAATCCGATGTTGGTGGCACACGACTTGCGTTACGAAGCGATGCGATTGAGAGGCGTTCGTAATCTGCGATTGAATCTAAAGAAACAACGTATTTTTTATTTTCTTACCACAAACGGAACAACAAAGTCAATTTTGTCATATTGATTTAATTAAACAGTAAGTTTTCAAAGCTAAATAGTTGAAATTCACACTTAAAGCTCTACAGCTGAAATGGTTTCTGGCTGAAACTGAATAGTTTTAATACCTGTAATTAAACTAAAGTTAATTTTAACGGATTAATACTTCTTACCTACCACACAACAGATTTTCTTTCGCTTCTAAAAAAATAATACGCTGACCTTATTCAGAACAAGAGAAGTTTTCCGGAATATGTTTATTACTTTGCCAACAACATTACATACACTCTTCTGCTAAATGAATGTTGCCAAGACTAATAAATAAAGAAACAAAATTGCCAACAATCTGACAAAATGGGACTATAAAAAATTCGCAAAGCGTAGCAAATGATTTAATAGGCGTGCAATAATAATTGTTCATATAAAAATGGATGATGTCATAAGTACAAATGTTCGTGTGTATTTTAATTATTGTTGAACACGATGGCAATCAAATGTATAGATTGTCTTCGATGAGCTTTTCATTTCAACAAAAAACTCACTTAGACCGTTTTATTTTTACCTGTTTCTTTTTTTGTGGGTATCAGTGTTAATTTTTTTTAATGTATTTTTATGCTGTCCTGGATAGGAATTAATAGTTCGATATGAGTATACTACAATTTATGTTTATTGTTGGTTTTATCAATCAATGCGGAAACTGAACTTTTACCAACATGTTGTTTCGGGTTTGTTACAGATGGCCTGGAAATCAACAGCATAATTATTTGGGACAGTGACTCATACAACAGGTTCAAAAACTGACCTCTATTAAAGGAAGATCAAGTATGATGACCAGAGGCCTAAGCACGAACTTTGACAAATACTTAATCGTATCATCATCGTCAAATTTTGTATGGAAAGAGCCAGTTAGTTCCTACATCCAGTAGAGGCGCTGCTTAGTTTCCATAGAAACTGACGATTCGATACGATTACGGATTCGAAGTTAGTGCTTGAGCCTCTGATGATCTTCCTTTAAAAGAGGACAGTTTTTGAACCAGTTGTAAGCGATGATGAGTCACTGTTACTATTCTTTCCGAAAATCTCTAGATTCAACCTACTTGAAAGTACAATAAATCTTGCTTCATAGCTGTATAAAGTGTTAATAAATGATAGCTGTCTGCGCAGTCAACACCAATATAAATATTTGTAATTAGACTGTAAAGTGATGGTCACATGATTAAAATCATAAAAAAAACTCCGGAGACGTCTATCGGGCTACTTACTTGTTAACTTAAGTTTCAACGGCCCGTAGCAAAAATATTTGTTTATGGTTGAGCAATAATTTAAAAAACACTCGAAAAGATGATTAATATGTCAGCCATAAAACTGCGTAGGTAATAACGTTTTGCTCAATATAACATGTCTTTTAAGCTAGGGACAATCAAAACATAAAATGCTAGGTGGGCCGATAGATGTGTCCGGAAGTGTATATTTTAAATAAATCTTTCCTTAACGTGGAGAAACATCAAATATGAAATGCACCTTAAAACATCCCTTTTACCCCATAATTATAGAGGATAAATATTCCTTTCTTTCATACTAGTAAGGACAACTTAGTATGGTGTGTGCGAAATCAACACCTAGTAACAGGCGTAAACCCATCCAATCCAAAAAGTCAGAACTCGGTGCTTTCACTATTTATGGTAACTGATGTAAACTAACACGAGAGAATCAATAAAATCATTCATTACACTCTTTTTTTGGGCTGCATGTAAAAAGAGGTACCACTGCATCGCCCGACCGCATTAAAGAAACCATTAACCATCTGTAATGATCATATTTGATTGGCATGGTTTAAGTGGTATGTACGCCGGTTTTAAAAGTTTTGGTGGGTCACCTACCCGGAGGTCTTGGGTTCGATTCGCGGTGAGGAAATGTTTGTATGATGAAGTCGTAGATGTTTATATATATATATACTTATATTATATTTTTTTGATTCCTCCCAGGCGGGGGAGCGGGTTTGAAATCCTCATGGAGCCGGCTGTAGGGTAACAGCGGGCTGCGAGGTTACGTCAGACTCCTACTGACTAAAACACACCCATAGTTCATGCTTAAGACCGGAAGGGCAGTACAAGATTTATTATATATATAGATTAAGGCCTTATAAGAAGCGATCATCCCCTGTAAGGGGGAAGATACAGACAGGGGGATGATGTAGTACTTATATATAAAAATATACTATATTTACAGTATTTTGTCTATTACCCTCTGTAGTACAATAACACAAGCCTTACTCTGCTTACTTGGGGTAAGGCTAATTGGTGTGTGTTAGAAAAAGAAATGTACTTGTTCTGTGCTTAGATAATGCTTTGATACCTGTGTGTCCGTCAATCAGTGGACACGTGAGTGGGGACATATAGACTAGGTTTACCCTCGGGGTGCGCGCGCAGGCTATCGAACGTAGGCCTCCAGACGGCTAGACGACAAGCATAGGCTTTTGTGGTATTGACTTAATCATTTATTTAAAACTTCTAAACTGAAATAGTGAATGCGAAATTTTTTATGTATCAATTATGGGTGCATATGAAAGAATAAGGTTTGGCACTTGACTGCGGAATTGCAGTAGCCTTATCTATTAGGAAGTTTGCTTTTCTTGAACTATGCATTTTAATTTTCATTCATTTATCCTATTTTTGTTTACATTCTTTTAATTTCAAATCATAGCTTTTAGTAAATCTTACATAAATACAGGCAAGCCCGCCATATACCTATCCATTGTGTGTGTGTGTGGGTCTTTTAGAGCATCAAAATTCGAGCTTGAGTGTTAAAAGTCAGATCACCACACACATAGCCACATCCCAAAAATGCCAAATTGAGTAAAAATATAAATCTTTAAAAAACTCGTTCATAAGTTTCGAAACATGACGACACATAACAGCAAACAAACACTTCCTCTCGAAAATATTTGAACGAAAATACGCTGTGCAACATTTAAACAACTAAAAAAAGGTAAATTTAAAACACAAACTCGTTACGAATTCGGAACGTTCATTCTATATGGGTAAAGTGTAACTAACAAAACGCGCCGGAGTTGCATACAATCCTTGAGCATTTTTAGACAATGGCTCAGAGGGCCAGGATGACCCATTCGAATGATGAATGCTGTTGAATGCCATATTTTTAATTTATCACCTGATAGATAATCCAGGTAAGGCCCCATTCAGCCTTTGCTCGGCGCATCGCCCGCCGCGTATTGTGTTGTTGTTGGCTCGCACCGCCCAGTATCAGCGCGTAGATCATAAGCGGAAGCGTTTAGACCCAACACTTGAGTTTCAATTCACACATGTATACTGAACACTGATATGTCGCTGTAATTATATAAAAAAACTTAATTTAGAAGGTGTCTTTTTGTTTGTAAGTTAGTAATATAGTTTGGTTGTTGTATAGTTTTTCAGATAATAGTCAGCATAATTATTTACGAAAGTACAATACACTGTAACTATAGAATTAGCTTTTGACTTTTATTACGCAGTGATAAGATCTGTATTCCGAATGCTGTACGATTGTAAATTTACTATGCTGATCTTGATATTTCATTTTTTTAAACTGTGCTTAAAGTTTAACCCTCTGACGGATTATAACTTGTGACAGCAGCTAATTTATTTATGTGGTCCTTAACTACACTACACACCGGCTATGACTGTTAGTGATAATAAAAGGGACGTCTCATTTATTGTTGACAAATATTTCGTGCCAAAAAACCTCTTGAAAGGAGCTAACGGAAGGCGCCAGGTCTTATTTTATTGTATTTATAGAGTACAATATAAAGCTTTGGCGGTTTCAGAGACGGTTTTTAGGGATCGGTAACGTTTCATCATAAACATTGATGACGTCACGTCCGGCATGAATTCTAAAAGAACATTCATTTTTATGATTTATAGCATACCTACTGCAAATCTTTTGAATACGTACTAAAGTAAAAAAATGAAAACGAAATGTTTATTCGAAACATGACGATATTTATTACGATCAAATCATATATGTTTGGATATAGGACACATTTTTTGAGCAAAAGCAAAACTTACTGCTGTGAAATTTTGATATAACAAATCATCATAGTCATGATTATTTTATATAGAAAATTTATAATTATTTTAAGGCAAAAAAGCGAGCTTATACACATAATATTGACTCGAAACAATATCCATCAGTCCTACAAGTCTGTAAGTAATTCCAGGATGCAAATATAGATAAAACGATCTTTACGGAAAAGCTCCTAAGTACCTAATTTGATCTTTTTCTATTTATTATAATTAACAAAATATCAACTTTCTATTTTATTATAAAACACTGAACCTCTTTGGAAGCAGTTTGGCTTGCACTTGACTGACGTTTTTTTTCTTGCTTCAGAATAATAAAGGACAGGAAATTATATCAATTCTGCGCATCGGCTTTCGAAGTCCGAAGCGAGGTGCAAGCAGCTCGCGCGTTTATGTCTATTATACGTAAGTATGTAAGCGCGCAAACGCATACTTCAGTATTTTTTTTGTGCACAACTTGGGAGGAAACGGTGGTCCATTCCGTGTGAATGATCGAGGTGACTCATCGCTTTTTCTTTTCAATATGGCAAACAATAAATTGTACTGAATTAAAGCGATTTGTACAATACAATTTCAGAGTTACTAGTGTAGTTACGTGTAAAAAAATCGAAATGTCGAATGAAGTTCTATAGTTTATTTATCGAAGCCGATTATGTAACAATATAATGGAAAATATTATGGAATTGTAATAAGAGAAACAAAACAATTTACTATCTGCAGTGATATTACATATGCAATAGAGGACGATCTGTATTTTTTTTATAATAGCAGG